CCTGACTTAATCTGAGGTCTGTCTATGTGCTAATAATAAATACTCTTTTCTCCAAAATCCACTTTGCATAAATGTAACTTATTCCCTAGATAATCTACTTTTAAATAAATGAGTGTTGACTATATTTTCTTTTCTCTCCAACTATCAATTTTTTTATATATTCTACATATTATTCTGCCTTTTTGGCTAAAATATAGGGAAAAAAGCAGTAATCAATCAGTGGCATTTTAGTTTTCTATGTAATACAGATCGCTTGTATTTTTATTACTAATAAAATAGAAGGATTGTCAGTAATTACATTTCAAAACAAAGATAACTTGTTTTGATAAAAGAAAGGATAGAAAAATGTGAAGCTAGATAGGAAGAATGACATATTCGAGAGCCGTTGTAAGCTTTCCTGATAGACTCCAATAAATGCAGAATCACAGTAGTAATGAAAAGAAATTCCCAATATTGCCATTAAATTTAAAATTCCATTTTGAATTTCAACTTCGACCTTTCAACATTTGTTTAATGTCACTGACCTGTTGCAGTCATATTAGCAACAGAAATCAACAGCAAAAATCCTTCCATTGATCAGGGCATTTTGGTCTCTCTGAAATAAAAATCCCAGTGATACTGCATCATAGAAATTATGTTCTCTGTGAACTCAGATTTCTCTGACAGAGAGATACATCAAAACCCACTGAGATGTAAGAAGACAGTGTCAACAGATCAGTTTATCAAATGCATGGGAAAAAAAGAAGTTGTTTTGTCTAAATGAGGAAGGACAGTGGAGTATAAGGGGATTGAACACAAAAGAGTTTAAAACCAAAGAAGAACAAAAAATATTCTGGGAAATGTATTCTTTTCCTTCTTCACTGACCAACTGATCCCTGAGAAGAGCTAAATAAAACAGCAATAATCCTTTCTCGCTGTAACATGTTCAGACTAAGATTATCACTTATTCAGATGAGTATAGGAGATATTAAAAATGCTGTAGCCATTGAAAAACATTGATTTCTTGACCAGGAAGAATCATTTTAGATGATTGCTGAAATGCAATAGAACAGAGAAAAGGAAAAAAAAAACAGAGGAATGTATTTGGAAACCTCTCAAATTCCATAATTCTATATTTTTTATGTAGGAACATTTACTGTCTTTCCTATTATAGATCTTGGCTGCAAAAACATCTCCAAATTTCATTTTCATCATCTAGCAGAGAATATATTTATTTTTTAATGTGTTATAAATATAATTGTCTGCTTGTGGTTTGTGAGCCTATTTCTAGGCTGATGCATGATTTGATAGAAGGACTGTCAAAATATGTAGAACTCCTTCAGAAGAGGAGCACACTACAGAGCTGTGAAAGCCTGACTGAACTAGAAGAATCAGAATGTGACAGAGTAGGAAAGTCATCCTAAAGGAAGATCTCATCTCAAGAAACAAGGAACCAGTACAAAACACACTGAAAATAAGCAAAAAATGAACAATGCAGAAATTATACAGACAGCAACAATTTTTAATGAAGTATTTGAAACCAAAGAAATTAGGAAAACCAAATTTTCAGAGACCAACTTCTAGGATCTTACAAGGCAGTAACGCTTTAAGAATAAACAAGGGAATATAATGGCAAAATAATTGTTTTTAAAGCTAGCTAAAGAGCTCTTTCTAGATTGGCAGAACTAAGTAATTACAGTGAGGTGCAGAGGCAGCATGTCAATCCCAACTCTATACAAACCTATGTCTCAATGAGAGGAGAACCCCCAAGGAATATCACCTCTTCCATGTACATTGTTTTAGCAAGACAATCCCCCGAAGAACATTTCTGTCACAGCCAGATAGATACTACACGCTCCTCCATTCCAGGCAGAGTGGTTTTGTGGCAATAGACTAGGAAATCCAAATATTTGCATGTTCTGTTCTTTGTAACAAACCAAATACTTAACAAAGTAAGAAAAATGTAACCAAAATTGAGGCAGAGAATGATAATTTATGAACCCCTTCTTGTATTCAGAAATCTATTGTATGTACAAACTGGTTGTAATGCTGACACTGAAAAAAAACGAGGCATTGCTCAGTTCTTATCTCACCCTTAAAGGATCAGTGACGTAAAGCCAGCACTGCTTAACCTTCTTCATGATCCATATTTCTTCCAGAAGCATGCAGAAAGGCAGTATATGTGCTAACTCCTGTCTGCTCCTTCCATATAAAAGCCAAAAGAAATATTCTGCAGTATCCTTTAAGAACATGCAGTGAATTTATCATATCTGTTTGTAATGCCCTTTGGGACTCTTCAGGAAGAAAGGCACAGTAAATGTAAGCTCATTATCATCATTAACTCCTTTTATGCACCAGCTGAGCTCAGAAGAATCAAATGGAGGAAAAAATATAAGAAAAAGAAAAGGGGGGGGTGAAATGTACTAACCATTCTCTTCTTTTCCTGCTCCGCATTTTTTTCTCTAAATATCCATATTGGATAAAATTTGTTGTTTGTTTGGAAACTTGACAATTAGCTTGACTATTTAGTTAGAATCACTAGATGACATTTATATTGCTAAGGAAAAATAAAATAGTCTCATTTATATTAAGGGCTATTTAATACAGCAGTACCTAATTGACTACACTAATTTTCCTAAGCTTGGAGACATCTTATCTCACACAAACGCCTGAGAAATGGTTCAGGAAACAGAAAAACTTTGGGGCTTCTCCTGTGCCTTTCTGCATAACCAGTGGAATGGCTCTACATCTAATTTGGATGAGACTCAGCTCACCAATATCACTAATTTTAGCTACTGAAAAGTCAGACTTTTCTTCCAAAGTAATTTTCTAGGCTCCTTCTAGGATATGCAGAGAGAGAGAAGCATCTCCAGAGAACAATTTCTACCACACGCCTTGGATATTAATATTGGATTGATGGTCTTCAGGAGGCACTTTTCTTTCTCCACTGATAGTATAAACCTAGTGAATACTTTCATGTAAAGGCCTAACTTCCTGGCAGGTGGGTGAGCAGCCTTGTGCAGCCTTGTTTATATACACACACACACACATAAAGTAATTAACAATTCATATGGAAAGATCCTTTCATCCCTAAACTGGATTCGATCCTGTTAAAATCAATGGCAGTAGTCTTGCATCTTTTACTGCATTGGCTATATGTAATGCTCTGTGATAGATGTATTTGATGTGTTTTCTACTGCTGTAGATTTCCATGGTTATCTCTCTTGACTGTAATACAGAAAATACAGGACCCTACCCTGCCAGTGCATCTCCTGCACAGCTCTCAAGCCTTTAAGGACTGGCCCCAATGAAGGGGCTTGAGCACTGGGTCTTGAATTCAGTCCCTGGCACAGGGAGCTCCTGTTGCCTCAACTGACATTCTGCCCTTTAGATGACACTGGCTGAAATTTTAGGAAAAAAAAAATATTGGCTCTCAAGTAGCTTTATAGGATATAGACAAAAAATTCAAACCTTTTGTAAACAAGCTACACAAAAAAGACTTAAAAATGGAAATGAAAGTGATGTCTCACAATTGAAGGCTACTTAAGGTGAAATATTTGCTATACCCAACTTACATTAACTAAGAAGTCAATTAATTAAAGAAAAATCTGGGAAGCAAGAGGAACAAGTTGGAAAATACATCCCGGTTTACAATGCCACGAAAAAAAAACAAAAAAAAAAAAAAAAAAAAAAAAAAAAAAAAAAAAAAAAAAAAAAAAAAAAAAAAAAAGGAAAGGGAGGCAGAGCTGTCCCTAAGAAGACTGAAACTGAAACTCCCCCTCGGCGCCCCGGGCGCTGCTCGGCCGCGGGGTGATGCTGTGCTCGCGGCTTTGGGGGGACACGGCGAAGGTGAAAGAGCCCCGGGGTCTCTCCCCGGCACGGAGGGCAGCGCCGGCCTCGCGGCGCGTGCGCACTGCGCCCCGAGCCGCGCGGAGCCCAAGCGGGCCGGGCGGCGCCGAAGCGGGCCGCGCAGAGCCGCGCAGAGCCGCGCATGCCGAGCGCTCTCCCCCGCCTGCGGGGCGGCCCTCGCCGTCGCTCCCGGCCTGGCCGCGAGCGGGCGAAGGAGGCAGCGCAGCCGGCGGGCGCGTGAGCGGGACCCCCGCGGGCATCGCCAGTGCCGCGAGCAGCAACTTTGCTGCTCGCTCCGCCGCGGCGCACGCGCTTAGAGGCGCGGTCACTAATCCCGGCGAGAGTTGCAGAGCTCTGAGACACCCTAAGCCGCGTGTAGCGACCCGCTCTCTGCCAGCCGGCCGGAGAGGAGGCGCGAGGGCTTGCGGCGACCCGGGGCGGGGAGGCGTTTGCCATCGGAGAGCTCTGCTCGCCCACGCAGCCCCCAAGTGCGCGCAGCGGCAGGAGGATGCGAAGAGGCAGCGCAAGGCGCGGTGTTAGCGGCAAGTCAGCGGTGCCCGCGAAAGGGCGGAGCGCCCGAGGGGGGTCCTCCCGGCGCCGCGCTCGCTACATTAACTCGGAGCGGCGGCGACGGTGACACAACTTTGCCGGCTTTGCCCCGGGAGGCTGCGAGAAGAGCCTCCCTCCCACCTCCTCCTCCTCGCCCTCCTCCTCGCCGTCGCGCCCCGGCCCGGCCGCTCCCGCGGCGGTTCCCGGCGGCAGCGGGAGCCGGAGGCAGCGGCGCCCGGGGCGGCCCCGCTCCGCCGGGCGGACATGGCTGTCCCCGCGGGCCCCGGCGGGCGCTGCC